GCCCACCAAGTTTAATCTTGGGTAGAAGATTTCGGGTGCAGGCACACTTCTTTGAACCCGCGCACTGCTTGGATCAATGTTCCCTCTAAGCTGTGGAGTCTTGTAAACAAAAAATCTACTTTGCGAGCTACTGGCATTAAAGTTGTCAGTGAGCGATTTGGCTCCTGCATCAATTCGTTGGCTCTGGAGCCTTCCTTCCTGAGCTAAGACAGAAATGTGTGAGCCAGAGGCTAAAAAACTGTGAGCTAGCTCACACTAACTCAGCTTAGAGGGAACACTGCCTTGGATTAAACTTGGGGGGTCTTAGCGCTCCCCCCCCTTCCAATTCTCGGTTTGACTCCGAATCCCTTGCAGGAGGGGCGTGGCTCGTGGCCCCGCCCACAGGCGCGGGGGTGGGGTGGGTGGGCGGCCCTCCCCAGCTTTAAGAGGCCGGCGGGTCGCGGCCCGCGGCGCTTCCTCGGCCGTGGCTGCCTTCTTTGCGGAGGAGTGGTTGGGCCTGTCCGGAGCAGGCCAGGAAAGGTGAGGCGACCTCTTGATGGGATGGGTTTTTTTGTTTTTTTTTTGCCGTCTGGCCCTGACTCGGTCCGCGTGCGCTTTTCTTCGAGTTGGGGGTCTCCTCTCGAAGTATTCCGGGCGAGGGTCTCTGGCCATGCGCAGAGGGTTTCTCCTTTGCGGCCTGGGGGACTCGTTGCCGTCGAGCAGGGCGCCCTGGGCGGGTGGTGGTGGTGGTGGGTGCCTTGGTGCCGGCTCCAGGGCCGGGGGGAGGTCTTTTGTAGAAGGCGCCCGCGGCTCCGAGTGGCCGGAAGCTGGCATGGGGGGGGGGGGGTGTGTAAGCTGCGTGCGAAACTCTCCCTGTCGGAAAACTTTCCGACTGGTACCGAGTTCAAGTCCTGCGCGCGGCTGACCATGCGAGCCTCTAATGGGGACCGACCTCGACGGTCTTTACAGGGAACTGGGGTGGATTTCTGGCCTGCCCCTTTAGGCTTGGCGAAGTATGCGCCCAGGGCCGTTGCGCGGGGGGGGCTCCCTCCCAGCCGCCCCTCCCTCTCCCCCTGCGAGCTCCTCGGGGCGGAGGCCGTCCCCATCTTTGCGCACACCGCGGCTGCCCAGGTTTGGGGGCGGGAGAGGAGAGCAAAACCAGTTTGGCGGTGGGGTGGGGGTCCCTTTGCATTCCGCGGGCTGGAATCCCCCCCCCCCCAACCGAGCCTCGGGGCCAGTTCCCCGCCCGGAGGGAGGCTCCGGAGTTGCCCGGCCATTCTGGAATTGCAATCCATTCCTGCCGGGCTGGGCGGCTCCCGTCCGGATTGAAGCCGGAGAGGGCGACCCACTTTCCAAGGCCTTCGCAGCGCAATTGCTCCTTTGGATGGGCTATCGCGGCCGGGACAACGCCCCCCTCCCCTCCCCTCGCGGCGCCCTGGGCGGCGGGCCTTCAAAGGGCCGAGGACTTCGGCAGAATTTTCCAAAAGGGACTCATCGTCGTGAGTCTCTTCCCTGGAAGGAGGCTGGCGGCCGGCCAAGGGCTCTTTCCGGGGGTTGCCTGACTCGTGGGGTTCAAGCAGGTCCTTAACTTCGGCTGCCTTGAGTCCTGGTTGCGGTTCCCAGCCTCCCGGTGTCACCCGGAGATCTCCAGGAGTTACAACTGATTCCCGGACTGTGGAGGTCGGTTTGGCTGGAGGAAACGGCGGCTTTGGAGAGCTGTCTGTATGGCATTATCACCCTGCCCGGGTCCCAAATCTCCAGCAATATCCCAAGCAGGGATTGGCAGCTGCATCTAGCTGACTGCAGTCTTTCCTCCAATGCAGGGCTTGTCCTCTCTCCCCCCCCACCCCTCCACCTTCCGTCTGCCCCTAAAAAAAACAGGGACCTCTAGACAGATTACAGTTACAGAGCCAAGTTGGAGTCCAGTCAGGCACTTTTAAGACCAACTAAGTTGAATTATGGGTATAAGTTTTTCTGTGTACATGCACTTCTTCAGATACATTGGAACAGACTTCCACAACCACTACATACAGGTAGAGAGATGGTAATGGTGGTGGAAGTCTTTATGTATCTGAAGGTGTGTGTGTGGGCACAAATACGTATACCCAGAAGGTAACCCAGAAGAACCAGTGTTCCCTCTCAGCTGAGTTTAGTGTGAGCTAGCCCACAGTTTTTTTAGCCTCCGGCTCACGCATTTCTGCCTGAGCTCGGGAAGGAGGGCTCCAGAGCAAACTGATTGATGTGGCAGCCAAATCGCTCGCTCACCACTTTCGTGCCAGGAGCTCACAAAGTAGAATTGTTGCTCACAAAGACTCCGCAGCGGAGAGGGAGCATCGATTGGGGGCATGCGAGGTCAGCCCCACCCTCACAGCCGTTCTCCATCCTCTGGCCTTGCTTGATCTCTCAGAACACAATTCTTAACACCGGGATCTTCTTCAAAGGGCCGAGAACTCAGGCTGGATTTTCCAGAGGGGGTCGGTGACCTCTTACCTGGAAGGAGGGCTGGGGAATTACCTGACTCATGGTGTTCCGTCAGATTCTTAACTTCGGCTGCCTGAGTTAGGGTTGCTCGGCCTCCGGGGGCACCTGGAGCTCTCCAGGAATGACGAGTCTCCAGACTGCCGAGGTGGGTTCGGAAAATGGCTGCTTTGGAAGCTGGACTGTGTGGCCTTATCACCCTGCCTACATCCTTCCCCAGGCGGTGCCCCCAAATCCCCAGGAATATCCCAACTGGGAGTTGGCAACCACATCTCGCTGGCGGCAATCTTTCCTCCAATGCAAGGCTAAATTTCTCTGCCACTCGAAAGGAGAGGGTTGGCTCCCATTCACAGACAGATTACAGTTATGAAGTTGGAGTCCCTGGCAATGTTCCCTCTAAGCTGTGGAGACTTTGTGAGCAAAAATTCTACTTTGTGAGCTGCTGGCATTAAAGCTGTGAGCGAGCGGTTTGGCAGCCATATAAATTAGTTTGCTCTGGAGCTGTTCTTCCTGAGCTAAGACAAAAATGTGTGAGCCGGAGGCTAGAAAACTGTGAGCTAGCTCACACTAACTCATCTTAGAGGGAACACTGGTCCCTGGTTACCTTTAAGACCAACAAAGTTGAATTCTGGGTATTGGGTTTTCGTGTGTATGTGCACTTCTTCAGATGTGTTGGAACAGACGTCCACAGCTGTTAACATATAGGTAGGGAGAGGGTAATGGTGGTAGAAGTCTGCATCTGTGTATCTGAAGATGTGTGTGTGTGTGTGTGTGTGTGTGTGTACACAAATACGTATGCCCAGAATCAGTGTTCCCTCTAAGCTGAGTTAGTGTGAACTAGCCCACAGTTTTTTAGCCACCGGCTCACACTTTTTTTTGCCTTCGCTCGGGAAGGTTGGGCTCCAGAGCAAACTGATTACCCGGCAGCCAGATCGCTGGCTCACAACTTTAATACCAGCGGCTCACAAAGGAGAATCTTTGCTCACAGGACTCCACAGCTTAGAGGGAGCATTACTGGCCAGAATTAAACTTTTTGGGGTCTTTAAGGAACTCCTGGGCTCAAACTTGGTTCTGCTGCTTGGCACCAACACGGTGACCCACCTGAACCTAAATTACAGTTATGTTTAGTAAGAATCTTGTCTGGGTGGGGCTTTTTTTGGGGGGGGGTCATTATTGCAGCTTGAAGTTCATTTCCCTGCCCACTGCTGCTCGGCCATGTGAAGGACAGGCTGACCCACAGATCGGTGAGCGAAAGGGGGGGGGGGTTCGGTGTGCAGAGTGCAGTCAAGTCACAGCCCACTTACGGTGACCCCCTGACGGGGTCTTCAAGGCCTGCTTCTGCCCCCCGGACTTCCTCGGTGGTCTCCCATCCGAATACCAACCAGGGCCGACCCTGCTTAGCGTCTGAGATGTGACGAGATCGGGCTAGCTTGTGCCGTCCAGGTCAGGGCAAAAGGTGTGTGGAGGTGGGGTGCGATTGCCTGGCTCTGTGTAGTGAGCCTGGACTTCCTTGGGTCAGTCACAAGTTCTCTCAGAGCTGTTCTCTCAAGGGCGGTTCTCGGGAGAGCTCTCTCGGCCCCAACGACCTCACAGGGCGTCTGTTGTGGGGAGGGGAAGGGGAAAGGAGATTGTCAGCTGCTCTGTGACTCCTTCGGGTAGTGTATAAATCCAGTCTCCTCTTCTACATATGCAGCTGCTGGGGTGACCTTGGGTCAGTCACAAGTTCCCTCAGAGCTGTTCTCTCAAGGGCAGTTCTCGGGAGAGCTCTCTCAGCCTCACCGACCTCACAGGGCGTCTGTTGTGGGGAGGGGAAGGGAAAGCAGATTGTAAGCTGCTCTGAGACTCCCAGTAAAGGGCAGGTTATAAATCCAGTCTCCTCCTCCTCCTTCATCTTTTCAGAGCTCTCCCGGCCCCACCTACCTCACAGGGTGCCTGTGGTGGGGAGGGGAAGGGAAAGGAGATTGTCAGCTGCTCTGAGACTCCTTCGGGTAGTGAAGGGCGGGGTACAAATCCAATCTCCTCTCTTTCTTCAATCAATCAGTCTTACTACATCCTTAAGGCAGTGAGAGCCAGTCTGGGGTAGTGGTTAGGAGCGCAGACTCTAATCTGGGAGAACCAGGTTTGATTAACCACTCCTCCACATGCAGCTGCTGGGGTGACCTTGGGTCAGTCACAAGTTCTCTCAGAGCTGTCCTCTCAAGGGCAGTTCTCAGGAGAGCTCTCTCAGCCCCGCCTACCTTGCAGGGTGTCTGTTGTGGGGAGGGGAAGGGAAAGGAGATTGTCAGCTGCTCTGAGACTCCTTCGGGTAGTGAAGGCTGGGGTATAAATCCAATCTCTTCTCCCTTCTTCTTGGTGGTCTCCCATCCAAATACCATCTGGGGCTGACCCTGTTTAGCATCTGAGATCAGACGAGATCGGGCCAAGTGTGGGCCCACCCGGCTTGTTGATGGTTGTCAAACGACAAGGACAAAAGCTGCCGTCTTCCTCTCCACAGGCTTCCCACGTGACCTTGGTCCTCTCCCTCCACAGCTCCTGTGGCCAGGATGCGCTGCCTGGGGGTGCCGCTGATGCTTGTGGGCCTGTGTGCCGCCCAGTTTCTCCCCATGGAAAAAGGTGGGTCTGGTTCAGAGGTCCAGCGTCTGCTGCTGCTGCTGCTGCGGTTGGTTCCAGAGAGTAAAAGACGTGTCCGCGATTGTTCGGCAGGAGGCTGAGTTAAGTGCGCGGACTCTAATCTGGGAGAACCGGGTTTGATTCCCCACTCCTCCACTTGCACCTGGCTGGATGACCTTGGGCAAGCCGTAGTTCTGATAAGAGCTGTTCTTGAAAGAGAGCAGTTTCTGTCAAGAGCTCTCTCAGCCCCGCCTACCTCACAAGGTGTCTGTTGTGGGGAGGGGAAGGGAAAGGAGTTTGTAAGCCACTCTGAGACTCCCTTGGGGAGTGAAGGGCGGGGTATAAATCCAATCTCTTCTTCTAAGCCATGGAGCCTCGTGAGCAAAAATTCTCCTTTGTGAGCTGCTGGCATTAAAGCTGTGAGCGAGTGTTTTGGCTACTGTATACATTAGTTGGCTCTGGAGCCCTCCCTTCTTGAGCCAAGACAAAAATGTGTGAGCCAGAGGCTAGAAAACCATGAGCTGGCTCACACTAACTCAGTTTAGAGGGAATACTGGTCTGGAGCAGTGCTCCCTCTAAGCCGTGGAGTCTTGTGAGCAAAAACTCTACTTTGTGAGCTCCTGGCCTTAAAGTTGTGTGTGAGTGATTTGGCTGCAGCATAAATCAGTTTGCTCCAGAGCCATCCTCCCTGAGCTAAATCAATAATCTGTGAGCTGGAGGCTAGAAAACCGTGAGCTCGCTCACAGTAACTCAGCTTAGAGGGACCTGCCCTTGAAGACTGTTCAGAAGCTGAAGCCGTTGAAGAATGCTGCCGCTAGACTGCTGCTCAGGGCCAGCTCACACTAACTCAGCTTCGAGGGAACACTGACTGGGACCGTATATCCCCAACACTACAGCAGTCACACTGGCTACTGATCTGTTCCCGAGCCAAATTCAAAGTGTTGTTCTCGTCCTTTAAAGCCTGAAATGGCTTAGGACCAGAGTGCCTGGAGGGACCGTCTTCTCCCCTGTGTTCCTGCCTGGAAGTTAAGATCACAGGGAGGGGCTTTTTTGACTGTCCCACCAATCGAAGCAGCTCATCTGGGCACACAGGACGGGGCCTTTTTGGTGGCAGCCCTGAGATTATGGAACAACCTCCTCAGGGAGGTGCGCCGGGGCCCCTCACTTTCGGAGGCAGCTGGCGGTACTTTTCTTCCTTTCTCACAATACAAGAACTCGTGGGCACGCCATGAAATTGCTGAGCGGTCGGGTTAGAACGGATAAAAGGAAGTCCTTCTTCACCCAAAGAGTGATTAACACATGGAACTCACTGCCACAGGAAGTGGTGGCAGCTACAAGCATGGACGGCTTCAAAAGGGAATTAGATAAGCATACGGAGCAGAGGTCCATCAGTGGCTATTAGCCACAAGGTATAGATAGGGACTCTGGGGCAAGTGATGCTCTGTCATCTTGGTGCTTGGGGGGGGGGTCAACAGTGGGATGGCTTCTAATGTCCTGGCCCCACTGTTGGACCTCCTGATGGCCCCTGGTATTTCTGGCCACTGTGTGACACAGAGTGTTGGACTGGATGGGCCTTTGGCCTGATCCAACATTGGCGTCTCTTATGTTCTCATGTATTTAGGGTGGCCCTTGATTGCTTTACCAGCAGCCCTAAACTGTGGTTTTACAATTTTGCTTTATGCGCTTTTATGATGTCTTCTGTTTTATTCCTATCGTGAGCCACTGTGAGCTCCACACAGGAGAAAGGCGGCTTATCAATGTTTTAAATAAATAAGTCTTTGAGCTCCCCCCCCTTTCCTGCTCAGGGGGTGCAGCCAGACTGGTGGCACAGCGGAAGCCCTGTGGGTCAGCAGTATTCATGGGGGCCCCGCCAGAGGAACCTCGGCCACAGGGTGGCAAAGTCACTGGGTCCGGTCAAGCTGGGCTTCTGCGGCCAGAACTGGCACAATGGCTTCCGGGACATCTCCGTCCTGCCTTGTGGGAAGGGTGAAAGGGGCACCGAATGGGTGCCTGGCAGCTGTTCCTCCAAGCACAGCTTCTCCCTATATCTTCCGTCTCTCTCCGCCTGGTCTCCTTCGCAGGGTGGTTTTAGGATAAAATGGAAAACCGTGATGTCAGGCGGTACGGGGTAGAAGGCTTTTTAAAATCCTATTGGTCTATCGATTGTCTCCCCCCCTTTTATGTGCCTCCCCTCCCTCTTGCAGGGTGTGAGGAGCCTGACATACCGCCCCACAGCGCCTACCTGTGCCAGCCCCCCTTGTGCCAGGGGCCCTGGGAAAACGGCACCTTTGAAGCCGGTGCCATGCTGGAGTACTTCTGCCAATGGGGTTACGTCCTCGCCAGCCTACCCAGCCTGGCCATCTGCCACAGAGGGGAGTGGCGCGTGATTCAGGATGTCCTTTGCAAGCCACAAGGAAGTAAGAATTGTGTGTCCTACTCCCCCCCCCCCCGCTCTCCACCCGTTACATCCATTTCTTTGTGCTACCTGGATAACAGGATAACTTGGGCGAAATAAGCAAACTTGGGCATAACTGGAGACGGTTTGAGTCCCTAGGGAGCCCCGTTGGAGGAGGGCGCTTCTTGCACCCAAGACGGACGTTTGAGGTCTTGCATGGATCTGCTGAGGAGAGCAAAATCTCTCCACCTGGCCCTGAGCTCGGTTTAGACCAGTGGCCAATCAGTGACAAGATCTGGGCAGCGTCTGGTGCTGCTCTGCCACCTTGTGGTGCAGACTGGAATAGCTGCTCGCCACCTTGCATGGGAGTTCGGCCACCGCTCCGTGGCCCAAAGCTCCCTTTAAGCCACAGAGTCCTGTGAGCAAAAACTCTGCTTTGTGAGCTCCTGGCATTAAAGCTGTGAGCGAGCGAGCGATCTGGCTGCTGCATCAATTAGTATGCTCTGGAGCCGTCCTTCCTGAGCGAAGGGAAAAAAAATGTGTGAGCCGGAGGCTAAAAAACCCGAGCTAGCTCACACTAACTCATCTTAGAGGGAACACTGTCTGTGGCAGGGGAGTGGCGATACGACAAACCTAGCAGCAGCGTTCCCTCTAAGCTGAGTTAGTGTGAGCCAGTCCGGACAGAAGGAGCCTGTCTGGGCAAGCGGGGGGTGGGGGGGAGGAGGACAAGACTTCTGAACTAGGTTGGGACCCGTGCTCCCTCTAAGCTGAGTTAGTGTGCTCTAGCTCACGGTTTTTTTTGCCTCCGGCTCACACATTTTTGTCTTGGCTCAGGAAGGATGGCTCCAGAGCCAGTAGCCAGTAGCTCACAAAGTAGAATTTTTGCTCACAAGACTCCACAGCTTAGAGGGAACATTGGTCGGGACCTGTGCTCCCTCTAAGCAGAGTTAGTGTGAGCTAAGCTCACGGTTTTTTAGCCTCCAGCTCACAGATTTTTGTCTCAGCTCAGGAAGGAGGGCTCCAGAGCCAGCGAATGTATGCAGTAGCCAAATGGCTCGCTCACAACTTTCATGCCGGGAGCTCGCAAAGTAGGATTTTTGCTCACAGGATTCCATGGCTTAGAGGGAGCGACATGGAGTGGATTGAGATCTTCAAGTGGTTGGTGGTGCTGTGCTGCTCAGCGTGGATCTGAGCTAAGTAGCTCATGTGGAGCTTGTGGTCCCGCAAGGGCTCTGCTTATTCCTGGATACTCGTGGCTCTCTGGGGCCACCACCAGGGAGTCTCCCACTAAGGAAAAGGAGCCACAAAGGGCGGGAGCCACAAAGGAAGAGAGAAAGGGGAAAGGGTTGAGGTGGTCCCAACAGGGAAACCCTCCTATGTACAAGCCAATAACGAGTCTGGAAGGAAAGGCAGAAAGCTTTAAATGCAGTAACGTGGGGAGAAACCGTCCCAAGTTTTTCCCAAAGGAGATGTGAAAAACATAGCAAATTTATAGACCTTACATTCAGAGGACCCTCCCACAGAAAACCAAAATTGCACATCTTAAACTCATTTTTCTGGTTAATACATTAACTACGGTGATTTGGTTTTTGTCCTTTCGCACCTACACTGCTACAGGTGTGCACAGGTGTGCTGTGCAAATAACCTTTAAAATATCTAAAAATCTGGACTTCGATACTACATTATATGTTGTTCAAAGGACGTTACATTTAGTTCAGAGAACAAGCGTCCCACTGACTCAGTTCAAAATGCAAAGCAAAAGTTCAAGAGACGAACATGCTGCTGGGTTAATGATGTGCTTGTTTTTCACATTCCACCCCCCACACACACACACAGACCGACCGGGTCAGCTAAAGGTGGGTGCCGTTTTCCAGGGGGCTTTAGCCTATCTGAGGAACTGGGGTCAAGAAACCCAAAATCACACCCTTTAGTCTCTTACACTCTTGAGCGATGCTCCCTCTCAGCTGTGGAGTCTTGTGAGCAAAAATTCTACTTTGTGAGCTGCTGGCCTTAAAGTTGTGGGCGAGCAGTTTGGCCGCTGCATAAATCGGTTCTCTCTGGAGCCACGTAGTTCCTGAGCCAAGACAAAATCGTGCGAGCTGGAGGCTAAAAAACTATGAGCTCGCTCACACTGACTCAGCTTAGAGGGAGCACTGCTCTTGAGTGCCCATTACTGTGAGCCCACTGGGTTAAGCAGTCGATTTTTGGAAGACTGGACGATGCAAAAACAGTCTTGGGGTTGTTTACTCAGAAGTAGGCCCAGTCACTTTTACTGCCGTTTGCTATGGAAGGAGAGTAACCCAGGATTGGTGTAGCTTCGAAGGGCCGGCTGAAGTTGGTGTCTGGGAAAGGAAACTTCGGGATCCCACAGAGCCAGTTTAATGTAGTGGTTGAGTGCGCGGACTCTCATCTGGGAGAGACGGGTTTGACTCCCCACTCCTCCTCCACTTGCACCTGGCTGGATGACCTTGGGCAAGCCGTAGTTCTGATAAGAGCTGTTCTTGAAAAAGAGCCGTTTCTGTCAAGAGCTCTCTCGGCCCCACCTGCCTCCCAGGGTGTCTGTTGTGGGGAGGGGAAGGGAAAGGAGTTTGTCAGTGGCTCTGAGACACCTTCGGGTAGTGAAGTGAGGGGTAGAAATCCAATCTCCTCCTCCTCCTTGAAATGCCTGGCAGGGAATTCTCCACTGGTCCCTGCATCAGCAGGAGGAGTTTCTGTAAAATAACTCTTGTCTGGTACTCTGTATCTGTAGAGTTGTCAGGTCTCCCCTGGCCAGCGGTGGAAGATTGGAAGGATGCAGAGTTGCCATTTCCAGGTCGTGAAACTCCTGGAGATTTGGGGGTGAAGCCTGGGGAGACTCCTTTGGGTAGTGAAGAGCGGGGGTGTAAATCCAATCTCTTCTTCTTCCCCACTCCTCCATAGGCAGCTGCTGGTGTGACCTTGGGTCAGTCACAAGTTCTCTCAGCGCTGTTCTCTCAAGGGCAGTCCTTGAGAGAGCTCTCTCAGCCCCACCTGCCTCACAGGGTGTCTGTTGTGGGGAGGGGGAGGGAAAGGAGTCTGTAAGCCCCTCTGAGACACCTTTGGGTAATGAAGGGCGGGGTATAAATCCAATCTCCTCTTCTTCTTCTCCCCATATGCAGCTGCTGGTGTGACCTTGGGTCAGTCACATGTTCTCTCAGCGCTGTTCTCTCAAGGGCAGTCCTCAGGAGAGCTCTCTCAGCCCCACCTGCCTCACAGGGTGTCTGTTGTGGGGACGGGAAGGGAAAGGAGTCTGCAAGGACTGCCCCTCTGAGACACCTTTGGGTAGTGAAGGGCGGGGTATAAATCCAATCTCCTCCTCCTCCCATCCTGGCTCAGCTGCATTGTTTTGCTCATTAGAGATCTTTATGAATTGAATATTTTTTAAAAAATCCTGTTTGATCGTCTGCCTGGCATCTCAGCAAGAGAGGCAGGCCGGAAGCAAAGTTGGGAGCCACACTCATGCACTTTCTCCGCCTTCTCCGTCTCTCCCTCCCAGCCCCCGTGGCCCCGCGCAGCAGTTCCCTCACTCTCGTCAACTCCATCCCGCTGATGGCCGGCACCTTGGTCCTCCTCTCGGCCGTCATCCTGGCCCTCACGCTCTGCTTTCTAGTCGTCAGGTCCGTGCCCTCCCCTTGCGGCGGCACCAGGTGAGTTCTGAGCATCACGGGCTACAGATGGGAACCCTCCGTCTGGGGCAGGGATGTCCTGTCCGATGCGCCTTCTCAGGGGTCGTTTCCTAGAAAAAGAGCTAGGGGAACTCATTAGCATAACTCATTAGCATATGCCACACCCCCTGACATCACCAGAAGTGTGTCATAAGGCCACACACCCCTGACATCACCGGAAGTGTGTCATAAGCGCGCACACCCCGCCCCCAACGGTCCCGGCCGCCGCTGCCGGCCTTGCAGCTCCACTGCCGAGCCCCATGAGGGGCCCGGCGGTGCTGCGGAGTCTTGTGAGCGAAAATTCTGCTTTGTGAGCCAGTGGCATTAAAGTTGTGGGCGAGCGATTTGGCTGCGGCATGAATCAGTTTGCTCTGGAGCCCCATCCTTCCCGAGCGAAGGCAAATATGCGTGAGCCGGAGGATGGAGAACTGTTTCGCTACAGCGCTCTGGGCTGCTTTGGTGTCCGGATGCCAGCCCCGTTTGCCCCCCTGAAACCCTGCTTTGTCGGGCTCTTCCCCCCCCCCAACCGCACCCCCCCTCTCAAGAAGCCAGGATAGTAAAAATGCAGTTTGTGCTTCCGGGTTTTGGCGTGCGGGACTCACGTGGCCGTGTCTTCTCCCCAACAGCCAGGCGTACGAAACCTTGGAAGACCGGGGCTTCGTGGTGGAGGGCGTGGACGGGCCAGGCACGAGTCCCACGGAGGACACCACACTGTCCCTCCCTTCCTACGAAGAGGCCGTCTACGGTCACACCGGCGCCCCCGTGCCAGCCGCCAGCCGGGGCCCGATCCCTCTCATCCTTTTGGCCCAGCCGGAACGTTCGGGCAGCAGTCGTGGGCCGGGGGGGTCCCGCGAGGTGGAAGACCCTCCACCCTCCTACCAAGAGGCCATGGCCACAGAGAACGCCCTAGACAGACAGCCGGCTGAAAGGTGGCTGACGTTATCCATGTTCCCCAGGGAAAGTGAACTGAGCGCACTGGCGAGCGTCCCGGAACTCCCCGTGCCCGGGGTGTGTGTAGCCCTGGTTTCCAAAGGACTTCCCCCCATCCAGCAGCTGGAAGCCCCCAAGTGAGGGATGCGGCTTCCCAATGAAGCTCCACCCCCTTCCATCACTTGGGAGGGAGAGGGGGTGGAGTCAGCCATCACTGCCTGAGGACCAATCTGCTGCTTTCCCAGCCCGGGAGGACCCGCCCCCTCATCTCCTTCCATTCGACGGCTGACTTGTCTGTCTTGACGAAACGACGGACATCTTTCTGTACTGGATCGAGATTTCTCTTGAATTTAAAAAACACCCCCAATAATTATGTTTTTTTAAAAAAAATGTTTTATTTTATTGCCTTATTGTAGCTGCTATGGGGGGGGGTCTTTCCCCCCCAAAGCACAAAGAGTGCTGGATTGGGGAGGGCGGCGTTTACACCCCACAGGTCATACATTTCGATTAATTCAGTTCTCATCTTTCGATATGCAGTGCAGTGAGAGTAAGATAATACATACAACAACAGATAATACATACTGTACACAGTAGTATAGTCAAAAAGGCCCCATTCCCTTTATGAAAGCATCTTCCCAAACTATTCCATAATAAGATAGTCCTGTTACCTTTATAAAAATGCCTTTTTGAACATTACTGGGGGGGGGGGGGGGGGGCTGAATGGATTGTAATAGTCTGGTGGTGGGGAAATTGTCCTTATTTAAAACATCCGTATTAAAACGTTTTCTAAACAGGTGGTCGTCCTGAGAGTCCTCCTCCTTCTCTGGCCGGTTCTTTGTGGGTTTGATTCCCCCACTCCTCCACATGCAGCTGGAGAAGAGGCAGTCCTTTAGATATGAGAGTCCAAGGCCATGAAGAGCCTTGAACAGAACTTGGTAGATGATGGACAGCATATGGAGTGACTGCAATATGGGTGCAATATGCATGCTCCATCTTGCTCCTGATAAAAACTGTGTTGTGACTTTCCAGGTTGACTGAGGGGGGATCTATGTATAGTGCATTATACTAATCTAGTCTCAAAGATATTGTGGTATGGATCCAGAAGGCCAGATCAGCCAAGTCAAGGTAAGAGGCCATCTGCTGGGCTACCCTAAGTTGGAAGAAAGTATTTTTCACAGCTGCATTAATTTGCTTCTTCAGCAGCAATGCTGGGTCAAGAATAACGCCTAGATTATTAACCATGTCAGCAAGGGTCAGCTGAACCCCACTGAAGATAGGAAGCACAATGTCTTTTAAGACCTCAAGCTTCGCAACCAGCATTACCTCCATCTTTTAAGGTTCAGTCACAGTGTGTTCGCTCTTAGCCACAGCTGTCAGACAGTGGCCAAATACCTCCGTCATATCACCAGGAGATTTGGATACAGAGATACAGAGCTGGGTGTTGCCAGTACATAGATGGCATCCAATTTCACAACTGCTAGACTCCAGTCCAGTAGTCTCCTCCTCCTCCTCTTCTCCTCCTCCCTTCTTCCTCCTCTTCTCCTTCTCCTCCTTCTCCTCCTCTCTTCTCCCTCTCCTCCTCTCTTCACCCTCTTCTCCTCCTCCCTTCTTCCTCTTCTCCTTCCTTCTTCCTCTTCTCCTCTTCCCTTTTTCCTC